CTGCTTCTTGCGCCGGCCACTGGCTCGCTCGGGCAGCGCGGCCTGGCCGCGCGCGCGACGGGCGAGGAAGGCGGCGGCGGTGACGAGAGCGACAACGGGGGGGGGGGCGGCGGCGACGGCGACGGCGACGGCGGCGATGAGGGCGACGAGGAGTGGCGGGGGGTGGGGGAGGGGCAGCCGGATGGAAGAGGAGGAGGAGGAGGAGAAGGAGGAGGAGGCGAAGGAGGAAGATGGGGAGAGGAGGAGGAGATGGACTCTGCTTTGGCTCTGTTCACGCTGGCCTCCTGGCCCGCGGCGGCGGCAGGAAGGCACTGGGCCTCTCGGCAGGGGGAGAGGCCTCCCGCTCCTCCTCTTTATTCTCCTTCTCCTCCTCCTCCTCTTCTTTGTGCTCCTTGTCCTTGATCCTTCCACTCGGCCACATCCTCGACCTCATGCTCGATATGTCGTCATCATTATCGCTCGTCCCATTCACCGTCCCTGAGGCCGCGCAATCATCATCATCATCATCATCATCATCATAATCATCATCAGCATCATCATCAGCATCATCAGCAGCATCATCATCAGCATCCCCATCAGCATCACCATCATCACCATCACCATCACCATCACCATCACCAGCATCATCATCATCATCATCATCATCCTCATCATCCTAATCATCATCACCATCATCATGAGCAGCATCATCAGCATCATCAGCATCCTCCCCACCGCCATCCTCGTCCTCCTTCTCGTCATCCCAATGCCGTCACCGCCATCACCGTCACCACGATGACCACCGTCACCACCATCGCCACCAACATCACCGCCACCACCGGCATCCACAGCCGTGGACGCCTGGAAGATCACCAACGCCCCAACCTGGCGCACACGCGCCCAGCGCGCGCACGCCTCACCGCAGGGCGCGCAGGAAAAGAAAAAGGAAGAAGAAAATAAGAAAAGGAATAAGAAAAAATACCCCAGTGCGAGCCTACCCAGAAGTTGGAGCCCCTAGGAAAGCAGCATTAGTTGCTATGCTATGCTATGCTATGCTATGCTATGCTATGCTGCGCTATGCTATGCTATGCTATGCTATGCCATGCCATGCTAAGCTATGCTATGTTATGCTGCGCTGTGTTACGCTAAGCTATGATATGCTATGCTATGCCATGCTAAACGGTGCTATGCTATGCTATGCTATGCTATGCTGCGCTATGCTATGCTATGCTTGGCTATGTTATGCTATGCTATGCTACGCTGATGCAGCGCTGCGCCATGCTAAACGAAGTTAAGTTAAGCTAACCGTCTAGGCAGAGCCTAGGTAGGGAATTACACCCAGGCTATGCTAAACTATGTTATGATATGCTATGCTAAGCTGCGCTATGCTATGTTAATATATGAGATGTTATGCTATGATATGCTATGCTGCGCTATGCTATGCTACGCTATGTTAGGATATGCTGTGCTCTGCTATGCTAAAGCTCAGCGAACATAAGATGAAGGTAAGCTAAGCAAACATAAACCTGAGCTGAGATGAAGCTAAGCTAAGCTAAGATGAACTAAGCTAAGCTAAGGTGAGATAAGCAACGCTAAGCTAAGGGGACGTCGCTGGGGGAACCGCGGGGCGGAAACCGGGGGAACCGCCCGGGCCGGTTCCCACTGCCCGGCCCCGTTAAGCAAAGAGAGTAAGCACCCTTCTAGGCAGAGCCTGGGTAGGGAATAAAGAAGAGGAATCAGAAAAAGGACATTAAGAAAAGGATTACTAATACTACTAGCACCTATAACAAGACTGAACATAAGAATACTAGTACGAAGGAGAAGAATACTAAACAGAAAAAAAAACATCAAACAAAACAATAATAATACAACTACGAAGAAGAAACATAAACATAATAATAACAATGATTATAATAATAAATAATAATAATAACAATAATAATATTAATAATCATAATAATAATACTACTAAAAATAATAATAATAATAATAATAAAGTGGCGGCTCGGCCACGCCTGCGCTGGCGCTCGAGCGCGCGGTGCGGCGGCCCCGCCCTGCCGCAGCCCCTGCCGCCGAGTCTCCAGGCCTGGCCCCGGACGTCGAGGTTCAGGTCGGGCCTGTCCTCCTACAGGCGGGTTTTGAAAGAAAACGTAGCCAACCATACCCAAACATATTCCAAACATGATCCCGCCAGCCCTTTAGGGCGTAGGTGGTCTAGGGAGGTTCCTCCTCCAACCCCCTTCTTCCCCGACGGGGAGGGGTTTATCACTGTTCCCTATTAGTATACACCCCCTCCCCCAGGCGACTGGGAGCCAACACGAGACCACGCGGCCCCCCCCACCATCCTTTTCAAACAACAATGCAAAACACACTCTGCCTCCAAATTCGGAGCATGCGCAACGAACCCGATGCGGCCTCCCCCCACCATCCCTGTCAACAAACAATACAAAGTACACTTGGCGGCGGCAGCGGCTGCGGCGGCAGCGGCGGGGCAACGGCTGCGGCGGCTGCGGCGGTGGCGGCGGCGGGGGCGGGAGCGGCGGCGGCGGCGGCGGCGGCGGAGGCGGCGGCGGCGGCGGCGGCGGCGGCGGGCGGCGCGGTGGCGGCGGCGGCGGCAGACAACGGCGGCGGACAGCGGCGGCGGCGGCGCGGCGGCGGCGGGCGGCGGCGTTGGCGGCGGCGGCGGATCCGCCCCCAGTAGATGCCCATCCACAGACGCTCGGGCCAGGCTCGGGTGCTACGTATGTGTTGGGAGGGCGGGTGGGAGTGAGCGAGACGGCTTGCGGGCGGGGAGGGAGTCTTGACCCATCCCCCTACCTCCTCCCCTGGACGTGAACGGGGGGTTCCGCGGGTAGTTGGAGCGTCCCTCACGGCCTCGGCGAAGAAACCTAACTCATTTGTTGTACCATGGTTTGGGCCCCATGTTGGCCGCTTGGGGGGGGTTGGTTGGGGAGCTTTCCTCCTCTGATCGGTCTCACCCAAGATGGCCCAAAGATGGCCCCCAAGGGTGCCCCAAGAGGGCCCCCAAAGGTGGCCAGGCGGCCTCAAGAGACCCCCCAGGATGCCCCCAAGAGACCCCCAAAAGGCCCCCCAGAGGCACCCAAGACGATCCAAAAAACCTCGGCGAGAATACCACCATCATGTTTTTGTTGCTACGGTTTTGGCCACATTCTGGCCTCCTTGGGGGGGCACTGGTTACGATGACTCCAAGAGCGCCTGGGGGAACCGAAAATGACCTTCAAGACTGCTCCAGATATCCCGAGATGCCTCAAGATGGCTCCTACGATGCTCCAAGAGGCCCCAAAACCGCTCCAAGACGGTGCCAAGTGGCCAAAGAGCTCCCCCAGGAGGCCCCGAAGAGGCCACATTCCTTCCAAAACCTTGCGAACATCACTGTTTTTTTAGCGTTTTCGCTTTTTGGTTTCCGATGGCCAACCGAGGCCGCAAGATGGTTCCAAGATGGCCCAAAAAGGCTCCAAGAGAGGCTGGCGAGAGTCCCGGGACGGCCCCACGAGCGCCCAAGAGCGCTCCAAGAGCGCCCCAAGAACGCCTCAAGAGGCGACTTCTTGGGTTCCCGAAGGGCAGCGCTAATGAACGTTTCCCTCCTGTTTGATCGATGTCCCCCAAGATGGCCCCAAGAGCGCTTCCAAGGCTCCCAGGAGCGCTTCAAGAGGGCCCCAAGAGTCGCCCAGGAGGCCCCAACAGGCGCCCAAGAGGCCTCCAAGAGGCTCCCACGAGACCCCCAAGAAACTTTCCGAGGCACCGAAGACGCTCTAAAATGCGTCCGGGGCCGCCAAGAGGCCTCAAGACACTCCAAGCGGCCTCCACTTGGGGACCCTTCCTCTCGTGTGCTGCCCACTTCCGTGATCGAGGCAATTCCTCTGGGCATCGTTTCTGGATGGGCTGGTGGGGTTACGTTTTGGTCCAAGGGCGCGCAAAACGAGTCGAATGCCGAGCCTGCTACGGCGGGCCGCGCCGGTAGCGAAGAGAAATACAGTGAGCGACGGCACACTAAGGGCCGCGAGCCGACCAGGCAGTAAACGGCAGAGGGGGCGTGCCGAACACGAAGACCTGCACAAGAGCGTGGCGAACACAGAGTACCCGAAGAGCATGAAGGCAAACACGTATTGATGAGCTTACCGACGAAACGAACTCCACAGCGCCAGCGAAGAGAACGCAACCAAAATGGCGCGGAGGCCCGTGGCCAAGGAGGAGGCGGAGCGGATGGCCGCGAGGTAGGAGCCCGAGAACAGTGACCCCGTTGCCATGTCCGAGCCGCCTTGCCGTGCAGGTAGACCGCTGGTGGGGTCCCTTTTTTTTGCGGCCCGCAAGAGGGCGGTATGACTGGTGGGGTCGCGCGAAGCGTCCAGAATTTCCCAAATACCGTCCCCGGGCGATCGTCTTACCAATGTGTGGCAGTTCCTCCTGGCAGAGGAGCATCCCCGACTTCACGCCAGGGCCGCGTACGGGGCCCATGCCACGGCCCCCGTCGCCGAGGCCGCGGGCCAGGCCCCCTTCCGAGGTGCACGGCCGCCCCCGGGGGGCCAAGGCCCGGGGCAGCCCGCGTTGGGAGGCAACTGCGGGGACGTCTTCGCCGGCAAGGGGAGGAAAAAGGGAGCCCAAAGGGGGGTTGTTGCCCGGAGCTCCTGGCGACGCAATGTTTTCACAGCGGGCGTTTTCGCTCCACTGCGGGCCCCAGGACTCTCGTAGATCGATCCGGTTCGAACACGGACGCAGCAAATCCGAGGCCGGGGCTCCAGCCGCGATTTTACGCGATGGTTGAATTTCTCTGACAACGTCGGACCAAAAAGTACGCCGGATGAGGTCCCGGACGAAGGGGGACTGAACCTGACTAGGCGGGATGAAGTCGGGTGCAGCAGCCGCAAGCCGGATAAAGCCGGATTTCGGACCAAGACAATGTCAGAATTTGACCTCCCAGACGTTGCATTCGGTCGGGCATGTCCTCCTACAGGCGGATTCGAGCAAGCATCAAATTACCCTGCAACGTACCCAATTCACGTGTGTCGAATGGAACGAGACGACGGCGCAGGCGCGGCGATGTG